AAGTTGTACTTTAATGAAGGTGTTAAAATTTGTAAAGATGAACTAATCTGCTTGAACAACAGCGCTGTGTAAAGTGCTCTCTGTGATGGTTCACCTGAGGACTCTGAATCGTGTTCAGGTCTGGCTAAGGAGAAACGGCGAGAGGAAATCCCTTTCCTTTCGTAATTCAACTGTGGACATTTTACAAATATAATTTGAGTAACAGTTCTCATCTCGATGGAGTTTTTTTTTTTACATTGTTTTAATTTTTGTTTGTCTTTTTACCTTGTCTGTAAACAGAACAGTTCCTCTATTGAAAGTTTCAATCTGGATTTGGAAAGTTTGGTACAATACAAGCTCTAAAAGCTCTAGGCTGCTACTAAAGTGAAGAGGACAGTGCTTTGACTAGGCCACCATGTGCAGAGTTTCCTGTTATTTCACTGCTTTTGTCGTTTCAAAGCTTTATCCTTTCAATTACACCAGTCGCCACTTTGGATGTCATGTTTGTAACCTTAACCACACACCGGATGTTATTGGTTATTAAACCTTGATTAGAAAACAAAACTAATAAGTGAAGTGGATTTTTACCCGTCACTGTGCTGCTCTGTGTATGTAATCAGGGTTATAAAAATAGAGTAAATGCATCTTTCAGTTCCTGATCTTTACATGACGTGAAAATGATCTGCTTTTGAAATTATTTACACAAAATGACAAACTGCACACAGTTAATAAAATAAAACCAGTTATTCTGTTGTCTTTAGCTTTTCACAACCTTTCATTTTAGGTTGAATCTGCTCAGATGGAAATTATGCAGCTATCTTTGTCTGGTTTTCTGCCACTAGGCTATAACGTTCTAGAATAGAACCTGGACAAAACTAATGGAGAAGGTTTTAAATTAATTGGCAGCACCAATGTTTTCTATCTTGTTATTGAAGCAGCAACCGTGTCCTTAATTTTGCACAGAAAGTTGTGAGATTTTAACTTTGTTCATGACAGTTTTTGTACTGTTTGGGTTAGATGTTATTCATCTTAGTTTAATTTAATTTTGGTGTTTTATCAAAAGAAATAAGCTCTTGAAATTTGTAACTAACATTTAATAATCTAATTTCCTAAAGTAAATGTATAGTAAATTTACAGGATTTTTAGAAAATGGCTAAAAAGCACTTTACGTTCCCCAGGGTTTCATAATGTATAAATTGTCCAGGTTTCAAGCGAACGCTGAAGTTGACGTTACGGCGCATCTTTGAGAACGTACATCAGAGACTGAGCCCAAAGCGTGTAAATTCCTCTGACATTTGCAGTCATCTGAGCAGTCTGACATTTACACCGTTGTCAGATGAAAAGTCTGTTCTTGGAAACAATCCAAGGACATTCAGGTTCAAATGTCATTTGTCTTAGTTTAGTTCCGTCATCCTGTGGAACCAAACCACATGTTTCAAGTTTTCAAAGGAATAAACGAAAGTTTTCTTGGACATAATGACCTCAAACCATTTGATGATATTTTTCTTTTATTATCCAGGTAACTTCTAATCAGGTTGAATGTCCCTCGTCTATAAGGCATTTTGTTATATATATTTATATTTATATATATACACACACATCACCATATACAATATGTGACTGTAATGTGAAAGGCTACATACATTATTTGGTCATTTAAGTAAATAATGATCAATGAAATTGACAACAATGAGTAACCTCCCATATTTTCAAACAAAAGTCGTTTTGCTTGTTTATGTGACACTCAAACATAACAGACCAGACAGCGGAGTTAATGGTGGTAAATAATAAAACATCCTTGTGCCTAACATTTCATTCCCCACTTACACATGCTTCACAAAGTTAAATCTGGGAGTCTGATATTGCATCAAAGAAAAGAAAACAAAAAGAATCTATCAGATTGTTGCAGCACTCTGGATGTGTCTCATGCCAAACGAATGAACAGCTTCCTCTGCTACAGTAACACTCACTCGTTAAAACGCAAACCTTTCCCGTTCTGCATTTTAGTTTAAGCGTTTCTGAGAACATTATGTAGTGTGATTATGGACCAGGCTTGAAACATTGCTACCTAAATTAGAAGTACACCTACCCAATTTTTAAAGGGCAAATATCATCATATTTTAGAGTCATAATAGCCTCTACAGCCCAACCGCTGATGTGTCTCAAGCTGTTGTTTGTGAGCATACAGTTGATCAGTTCAGCTTTTCTCCACATGTAGATTTAGCCACGATAACTAGCTTTAGTCGTGCTAATTAGTTTCTTTTTATAAATAAAGTGTGACTACAGCCTGTCTGTATATTAGTACTATAACTTTCTTTCCATCTAAAGTTTAGCATTAGCTTGAAGTGTTTTTTAACGGCCAAACATGTTTCCATAGGAAAACATAATGCAGACAGAGTTAAATATTCAGAATAACGTTTAACAACTTAACGAGTCACAGAGCATGTGTGTAGAGGAAAGAGGAACTTTCGCTGCACTTATGAAGTTAAAGTAGGCTATTCTGGAGATAAGCAATGCTGGTCAGATTCGGAGCAGAAAAGACAACATCTGAATGTGGGCAGAATTTTAGTGTTTCCAACTACAGGCCTCATCACAAGTTGTAATTTGCTGCTGTTGTTTATTACAGGCAGGTTGAGTTCCTGACATAGTGCTTTTAAATCCCTCCATAGTGTGCCAGCCGGTTAGGTATCCAAACCACTGCTCTCAGATATTTCTGCTGACTCCAAGACAAAACTTGACTTTATAAACTTAAACGTTGCTGTCATTACTTTTTGGGGAGAACATTGAGTTATGCCCGAGTTTGGCATAGACGCAACGTCATGCCTACTCTTCAGTGCTCACGTTTTTTTATTTGCAAATGTGACGATACTTGCCCTTTAACCATTTTTGTTTTCGCAAATAGAATCAAGCTCTAGAATTTTACCTTCAACATCTTTTCTCTACTTCCTTATCATACGAAAGTCATTATCTATAAGCGATGTGTTGCTACTCAATCATGTACATTGGTAGCCTTAAGACAGATGTACTACTAACCTGAGTAGTGTATTAAATTGCAGCAAGTTATGTTGAACTGGTGCTACCTTTCTCACAAACTTTCTCATCTGAGCCAAAACAGCCCTTTTCAGACTAGCTGAGCAATTAATAATTACTCAACTGGCTTAAGACCAACTGTAACCAACATTAGAAATAAATTGGCCATGTTGTTTTTCTTTTACATCTTATTTTGTTTTTTAAAGGTACCCCACAAAAAAAAGAAAGAAAAAAAGAACAATAGCACTCTTGCACAATTAATGTTCAATAGAAAATGAGGTATGTTTCTTTTCGTGTTAGTGCATATTAATGTAACAGTGCAAAACCAATCGCAAAAAAATATATACATATGTTCCACGATCACCTTGTCAAAATACTAATTGTACAGCATTTACCCCACCATCACTTTTACAAAGCATACAAGAACCCACTATGAGACACAGAACACACAATATCCCTCTGATTATTTCACCAAAAGAACCCAGGATGAAGCAAAACACTTGAAACATCAGATTCAGGGAATAGTGACCGGGAATATCAAGATAAAGTATGTTTGAAATAAGAGGTGGCATGTCACTTCACACGTTCAAAGCAACATAAAGCAATCCAGATTTCCCTTAGTCCTGTTTCATTGCTCAAAACCTACTGGAATGTCTAACAGCGTGTTCAGCTAATTAGCCAAAACGCATGAAGCAAAAAAAATAAAAATAAAAAAATACAACAAAAAACAACAACCTCAAAACAATTACGCTTGCACAAAAAAAAAAAAAAGAAACCTCTATGAAAAGTGCGCACACTTAATGTTATTTAACCCTGTCCGAGGTGGTCTTTATTTGGGAAGCCAGTTCATTGGTTTTAGTGCGTGGATCAAAACTTAAGAGTGACATGCTAAATTCTTCAAAGTGTCAAAAGTTCTGCGTTTGCACATATAGAAGTACTCAAAAGCCGTGACTGAGAAAGCGACTGCAGGCCGAGGAACTGTGCCGTTAAAAAGCATACGCGCTAGAAAAGACACGTGAGGATATGTCCCTTCATAAAAAAGGGCCTGAGAGTAGTTCTGTTGTGGAAAATATGTATGGATTGTCTCAGAAACACAGCCAACCGCGTGCCACCACACAGAGCTCATAAAAAAAAACAACAACAAAAAAAACAAAGGTTATCCCACACAGTCGGGTCGCCTGCTGCCTCCGTCTAATCCTCCTGTCCTAATAGAGAATCTGTTTTCAATCAAGAAAATAACAGAGACCGTTTCACAAGCACTGCAAAGACCCTCTGTGACGAACTGAGTGCTCGCGTCAAGGCATCCAGCTGGAATGTATAGATAGAAAAATGTCTCTGGAGGCAGACCCATGGTACAATAATGGCACAAACAACCAGCTGAACCCTGTTATAAGAATACAACAGGTTAAATATGTACATCACGTGGTTGCATGCTCAGTGTTGCAGAGAAATGCTTACAAACTGAAACAAGACGCCAAAGAAGTTGAGCGTGGAGAGTTATGCACCCCGTTCCTCCATGGCTGCTCTGTTTGTGAATTTCAACACTTAGGCCTGAACTCTACAAATATTACACATATTCAGTCCTCAGAAATGCTGCAGAGCAAAGTTATGCAAAGAAGAGAAAATTTGACACAAAGCCAGCTGGAGGAATTTGCACAGCTTCAGCATGAAGCCGAGCCGGCTGTCGGCACTGCAGTCGGAGCTCAAACGTCTGCCTGATCCAATCACACATCTGGATTTCAACGTGGGTTTGTTTCACTAATGTCCACAAATTACAACACAAATTGGAATCATTTAGAAAAATACAGCATTCCGGTTGCTGATTCTTTTTCACAGCCTGGTTGCAGAGGAACACCAGAACTAAAGCAAAAATATATATATATAATAATATAATATATATATATATAATCATATATATGTTTATATATCTATAATATAATATATATATATGTTACTAAAGAACTGATTGAAGTGAATTGGGTTTTCATTGGATGGGAGCCAAAATGATCAAATTTACCAAAAATAAAATCTTATAATATGTCACATTTGTGTAATAAACCTAAATAATACATGAGTTTAAGTTTTGAATTACATTACTGATATAAATAATTATCTATAATCATTAATCCATTGAGATTGTTTGTTGCTCTGATGACAGAAACTTTTCTGCAAGGGTCACAGTTTTGTATTTGTAGAAAAAAGATTGTGATACGTTTTTTTATTTAAAATAATTTTTAAAAAAGCATAATTCCTGTGAGTAATTAGATTCTTTGTAGTGACTGATTAATGAGACCCGGAGGAAACAGCAGGATCATTTCGATATCGGTCAGAATCATCAGGAAAAGTCCAGCATCTCATCAGGAAGCTGACGACCTGACAGAAGAATCAGAAGAGCCTTTTGCACTCAAACTGAAAACTAAAATCTAACAGAATTGTAACAAATGTGTAGCTGACCTACCACAAAATGTAGTGTATTCAAACTGAAACTTGTCAGAACCATGGTGCTTAGTGAACGCACGCCACACACTGTCGCATCATGCAAAGTACTGCACCTAATCAAGCACTCGCTCACATTCGGACAGAGCAGAACACAACGATGCCACACTCTGGTAAGGCAAATCTGAACAGAGCGAGCTGTGGTGATAAAGTCTTATTACACAGCTACAGTGTCTGGCAGCTATCTGGCATTATTAACCCTTAGTGTGTAGTGTTTCAGAAGGGACACAAGTGGTGTAAGAACTGATTTCCAACAGGCAAGATGAAAATGAAATCCCTTTTCGGCTTACAAAGCAAAAAAAAAATACTCCCGAAAAGCTACCTGTGTAACTGATAAATAAACGAAACTTGTATCTTGGCATCAACAGCTTACTTAATAATTAAAAAAAAGCTAATCTTTCAAACTATGTTTTGTAAATATTGCTGCCTACAAAAAAAGCTTATAAGCTGCACGAGTGAAAAACAAAACGAAATAAGTTGCGTTTGGAAAGAAAAAAAAAAGAAAACAAGTGTGGATTTTTATCCTTTTCTATAAAACACACCGCCCAAGGTAAATTTCAACCTACAGCACGAATCTGCAGTGCAGCGAGCGACTTGTAACAAAGTTTGGCCGGCTCTATAAAAGACCAGTTGCTGTAGCTGTCGTGTCCCTTCCTCCGATGCTCAGGCTCCACTGAGGTTTGAGGAAAACAGGCACCAGTGGTTTTTGGGAACAGCCAGTCCTCTGTTAGTAACGTCTCTCCGTCGTCGTCGTCCTCCTGGTTTGCAGGGAGACCGGTGCTGTCTCTTCCACGCAGATAAGAAAACGCACACAGCACACATACGCACGCTCACACGCTGTGTGTTACAAAATAACACACTTGTCTTTTTCTTTCGATTCCTTCTTGGCTTTGCGCTCCCCACCTGATGACTGCTTTCCTGGGCTGGATGTGGCCCCGCCTGCAGGAGCGGCCCCGGCCCCAGATGCTGCTGCTGCGCTTGCAGGGGCTCCTCCTCTGTCCACCTCACTTCCTTCAACCGGCTCCTGCGCAGACAGGAGAGCGCAGGATTACAGATTTAACTTAATAAAAAAAAAGAACTGAAGGTAGTTTGTGACTAAAGCTCAAGCAAACTTAGGTTATAGATGAAGAAAATAATCCAGAAGCACACTATAGATAATCTGAAATGTGTTTTCTTAATTCTCAACACATTTTAAACTACAAGCATCTAATTCGTACGTTACACACCTGTTCACGCTGACAATTCACTGCTTATAATCCAAAATCAAAATTTCTGATACAAACATGGCGGTAGACTCAAAAACCCAACAGTCAGTTGATTGAATCCCACATTCGCTGCAGCTCTCTCCCTTCTCCGTCTTTCTAAAGTCTCCACCTTCTGCCATCTCTACCTGTGCTTGTGCCTGTGCAGCCGCTGCAGCCGCTGCTTGCTCCTGCTCTTGCTCCTGGTAGTATTGCGACGCTCGTCGGTCCTCCTCCTCTTGAAGCTTCTTGGCCAGCTCCAGGTCACTGATGCCTTCGGGAAGCTGATCCCACTGCAGGTCCTGGCTTTGCTGCTCCTGCTGCAGGGAGAGCGCCATCAGATAGTCCTAAAAAACAAACAGAAACTTACTTTATGTTTTCTACAAACACACCGTGTAATGTGTCACATTTGCTGCAAACAAAAGATTTTTGATCCCATTGTTTCTTTTGGGAAGTAATAGGGAAATAATGAACAAATATTTCATAGTTTTATTTTGCGTGACTTATTTATTGTATGTATTTTTTAGGAAACGTACTGAATAGCCCATAGTTATGGGTCCTACGTGGTAGTAGAACTGCAGATCCCACATGCTACTTATGTTTGTGTAATGATCCTCCAATTTACAGTCTGTTTATTTCCATCTCTGAATGCTGTTGATTTGCTACTGATTCAGAATTCAAGTTTTTACTCTGTTATACTTGTAAATCTTTTGACAAACTCCTGGCTAGGTTTTCACAAGTCGGGCCAGAACCGATCAGACCTGATCTATCTGATCCTGCTGTCCGCGGTACACTGTCTCTGGATCGGACGGAGGCCGCAACCTGAACTCTGAATCGCAGAAGTTCCCGTCTCCATCGACGTTGTGCAGACTCTCCCAGACGACCTTCTCCTCCGTCAGGAAACCCTGGTCTGTAACCAGAAGGTACAGCTGACCCTGGGAAGAAATTGGAGTCAAAGCGGTTAGAAATGCTCTAGAATACCATCATTTACTTTTTTACTGACTGTACAAACACATACAGTTTCCAAAAAGTGATTAGAAGAGCACAAAGCGGTCCTGAAGCTTTGTGCCACTGTTATCGTAATGCACACAGTGCTTTGCTTGTGCTGGAAACAACTGCAGACCCACTTCCCTCCTGTAGATAACAGGAAAGGTCTGTTCCAACCGCAGATGTGTCATGCTAGCTGGGAATTGTTACAGATGGGACACATGTTTCTGGAAATCGGTCTAAATATTAGTCACTCTCTGGATCCGAGCTGCCCATCAGAGCATGACATTCATTCCTTTTACAATTTACAGTACTATTGATAAAACACTAGACAACTTCAGTGGAAGAAAGAAAAATAAGAAAGAGGAAAATTTGCTAACTTACACTTCACATCCAACAGAAGCCTCCTAAATAAGCCTTTAACCACCAGTGCAGGTGGATACATTTTTATTACACTGACAAAGTGATGAGGTGAGCTGAAAAATTAACATTTACAAATATCCATGTGACGAACTGGGAAAAGGCACAACACAATTGGACCAACCTGAACAAACCAGTATAAGTCTGACCTACAGTACTGTGAAAAAGTTTCAGAGCATAAAAAAATGTAAAGTGCTAACTTGAGTAAAAGCAAAACGTTGTTTATAAATGTTAAGTTAATTTATTAAGGGTAGTAAGGCATCCAAACTAAGTAACTGCCCCTACACTGATTGTACCACCCAAATTTTCCTACTCAATTACAGTAATTCATTTATTCTGGTTACTTTAGTCTGATATTAAAATATATCTCTTGATTTGAAACATGGAAAATACAATAAAAACCAGAGAGGTCCTAAGCATTGCCACTTAAAGGGAAAGAAAACACACACTTTGACTTGTCATGTTGTGTAAATTTAGCAGTTCACTAATCCCAACCCAAGCGGCAAATTGTTACCACAGGTTGTATCCAAGTAAGTTGTTAGCACCTGGTTACCTTGTATTTGATCATGGTGCTGAAGTGGTTGTTCCTGAAAAAGACACAGAGCTCTCCCTCCTGCACAGTGGAGGTGAGCTCACATAAGCCGTGGTACGTCAGCTGAGTGGCTGTGCTGCTCAGAAACTGCTCTGCCACGATGCCTGTGACAAAACATAGAGGAAAACACACATGGATAAAACACACACATGGACCTGCTTGTTTTATCAGACACAGACAGTCTTAAAAATCACAAGAAATCTGTAAAATATTCAATATTTTTGTTTTGATCATTTAAAATGATGTAGCAGACTACTCTACACACAGTCCGATTAAGCAGTCTTTACTTATTAATAAACGCTTTATAGTGTCAGCAGTGCAAATTTACAGAACACAATCTATATATATTTAAACAATATACAGAGACAGCAAAAATGAACAAATAAAATACTTTTCCATACTCTATTTTTCTTTTCTATATTTATCTAGACCAGTGGGTCCTGGAGGGCCAGCATCCTGCCTGGTTTAGTTCTCTCCCTGGTGGGAATGAAAACCTGCTCAGTATGTCAATGTTCTTCTTAGACCTTCTCATGAGCCATCATTTGATCCAGGTGTTAAACCAGGGAGAGAACTAAAACCTGCAGGACGTCGGACCTACTTTTGACACCGCTGATCTGGACTATATTTCAAAATATTTCAAGATTAAAGTGTCCAAACTGAGTAGGAACCCTCTACGGAAATGAACTGCAAATGGCCCATGGAAGAAAAACCACAGAACTGTTCACTAGAACCGAACCTTTTACTTGTGTGGAACCCAGTCAGGAAATAAACACTCCCTCCTCTACGAGTTTCTATGATCTCATTCAAAGGGATTTGTTGAAGTTTAAGTGATGGGTACCTTCAGTCATTAGTCCTTCAAAGGAAGGACCAGAAATGTGGAACGACAATAGCAAAGAGGAAGCATCTTTTATCAGTACATCGTTGAATAAGCATCAAAATGTTTTCTTTCAGTCCTGCTGGGAGCTACTTCAGCTGAATGAGCAAATATCTGGTAGAAAAGTTCAGATATTGGCAAAGAAAACAAAGAGCAAAAACAAAAAAAATGTTAGAAGTAAATGCCCTGGATCTATTACATTCGGCCTGTACTTCTATGCAGAGGTTTTTCTGTGTGGAGTAAAGCCAAGCGATAGAGTCAGAAAGTGGCCAGGAAGCAAGTTTTCACCTTCCCCTGCCAACTCGCTGTTCTCTGACTGTTTGCAGGATATTATCTTCTCCACCAGCTGGTTGTAGCTGCAGTTGCCCACCGCCTTCACAATGTCGTGCATCTGCAAACAGAGATAAAAAAAAAAAATTAAAAAAGTGAAAAAAAAACTTCAGCAAAAACAAGAATGCCAACCAACAGGCATTAAAACGCAGTTTTATGGAAGATTTAGGAAAGAAAGATTTAAAAACGCTTAAATGTTTTTTACTATGGTAGATTTAATCTGAGATCTTCAAATTTGACTTATTTACTCCTGACGGCTTTCATTTCATCGAGCTATAGGCGGATTAGGTGATGTTAAAACCCACTGGGGTTTCAATAGAGAACTGTTAGGATATAAGGCAACTTGTTAGGGAAGAAAAGTACATAAATTCAGATTGTCATCTGGTCTGAACTAGATTCTTTTGGGATATGTACAACCTAATACTTTATATTTCAATGGCAGATTTAGCTTGAAGTCATAAAAAATGTGGATAATGTGCAACCTGTGTGTTATCTCTTAAGAACATGACTGTAGGCAATACATTTCTACAAATCCTCCATGATGACATTCTATTATTAATTGCTATTGATTTGCTTCAGTGTTCACTTTTTAAAGATCTGGTGCTCTGTTTGTTCCTCTTTGTTTTTTATTGTCGTGAACAATTCGACATTAAGTCATTATCAGCGCACTAGATCATGAAGAATGCCCAGAGGTCCTTGGGTTGGAGTTCGGCCGTACCTGGGGGTCAACAAGCCAGCCGTGGTAAAGAGGGATGTCGAGAAGGTCGAACACAATGCATTCTGGGGTGTACTCAAACACTCGCACGCCTGTGAATTTCACGTTTACGTCCAGACCCGTTTGCAGCTTGTGCAGCACTGCCATGGCGTCACTCATGTTCTGAAAAAAAGAACAGAAATGAATGGATTTCCAGAAGCAGGTATATTAACTAAACACATCCGAGCAAAGAAACTGCTTATTTATTTTCATTTTTTTCAGCTGAGTGAGTGAAAATTAACTAAGTACAACTTGTAAAGGAGGAAGTAAGGAAGGATTTTTCAGTTATGTTTTTAATTTATTCTTTTCTCAATATTTGCTCTTGCTACCAAGCACATTAAAACACATTTGAGAAAAATATATCTTTTTAATTAGTGGCTAAATCCAAACCCTTTACATTTAGCTTGAATTTATCCCTTATCTTATATTTAGAATACCACATTTTAGCGGACATCGGTGATCTGTGAACATAAAAGCATCACAGCCGAGAACCCACAGAAACTCATTGTTGTTTTCATGCCCAGAGCAAAGTGTCTCAGCTGGCTTCAACGCTCTGCTGAACCCCGAGGTCGAGACCAGGCCTGCAGCTGAGCCCTGACAGCCCGATGTCCACTGATTCAACTTTACAGAAGACACACTGAAGAGGAATGACCCCAAGAGTACAGAAAGTATATCTGGCTTTTAAGATGGATAAAACAATTTAGTCATTATACAGTTTTGTACAATAAAATACAAGAAATACTAAGTTTTTGAAGCTTCTTACAAAATCATCATAAATTAGTAATAGAAGTATTACATAACTTTTTGTCCAACTAAATGTGATTGAGTTTAATGAGTCTTATATTATTGTGAGCTTATTTAAATAATGTTTCACACAGATATTTACTGAAACACAGGCTCATTGACTAATATTTTATTGTTAGCTCAGAAGAATCAGGCGGTTTGCTGTGAATTTCAATCTTTAATTCTCCAGACAGAGATTCCATCCTGATATACAGTATATAGAGCTTATAGTCCAGATTTTTTTCTATTTTCTAGTTTTGAGATATCAGCTGATTAGTGCTGAATCATTGAGGCTCAACGTTGATGCACTTCAACACTGGTATATTAGCACGTAAAGCTTTCTCAAGTTCTTCTCCAGTTCGAAAGTCAAGGCCCAACTCCCCATAATGTTTCTTAACTTTTATCCAAAAATGAAGGAAAAACAACTACGATAAGTCTCGAGTGAAATTTTCTACAATACCTACTTTTCTCATCATGATTGTTCCAGTTAAAACAGTCCCGTGTAAACTCAGCATCAGTTCTCACATTAAATCCTCACTAATAAAAGAGCACACTGTTATGGCTGCATGCCTCTTGGTCTCCCTGTTTTGCAGTAAAAACAGCTGTAGTCGCGGCATGAACTGAACGAGCCTCCCTGAATGTGTGCAGTCATATCTGGGTCCAAGATGTCAGCAGCAGATCCTTTAAATCATGGGAGATGTGAGGTGGAGCAGAGATGGGTCGGACTTGTTTATCCGGCTCATTCCCCAGATGCTCGATTTGGATTGACGCACGGGGAATTTGGAGGTCAAGTCCACATGTCAAACTCATTGTGCTCCTCAGACTATTCCTGAACTGTTTTTGCTTTGTGTCAGGGAGAATTATCTTGCAAGCAAAAGGCCAAAGTTGTCATCCTCCCTCAGTGCTCTGAGGGTTTGTCCCCCATATTAAACAAGCTGAGCTGAACTGTGTATTCTCGCAGCTTTCTGACAGAACCAGCATTGACTACTTCAGCAACCTGAGCCCAACGTTGCTTCCCATCTGTATCATTTAGACTAGCAGAATGAGCTTTGACCATAACCCTGTTACCGCTCCTCTATTTCCTTCCTTGGAGCACTTTTGATCAATACTAATCAATAGTGTAATGGGAAAGCAACCCATTAGCAGCTGAAAAGACCATTAGATCAACAACTCACCTAAAAGACAAACCCAAATATGTTTTAATGGGTGAAACTGCACAAATACACACGTCTTGAATGCACACATCTTGTATTGATATGTTGTAATAAAACGTCGTCTGGTCCCATAAGTGTGGACTGCTTCACAGAACAAATTACCTTTAAGCAAGCAGAAGGACATTGATGACTGCCAGTAATGGATAGGGTCCATTCTCGTTCTGAGTGATGATCGGCGTGTTTACCGCGTTGTGAGAGTCAACTTCTCACTGCCAAACATTCGAAACTTTCACTGTTTTGTGGAATACATTATTGCTGCAACTAATGATTATTTTAGTCAGAGTATTTTTTTCACACATCAATACATCAATCTAATTTTATGCATTTGAAGTTGATATAACCAAATTTCCATGCAGCTGCCCCTTTTCCAAATCATTCTGAATTTTTATAGTTAGTTTATTGTCATAGTTTAAGTGAAACCAAATTCCAACAACAGATCAAACCGTTTCTCTCGACATAGTGAACTGCTCCTTCATATGGATTTGATGAACGACGCTTTTAGCATAACTCCCCATCCCCTGCCCCCAACTATGAACTCACTTTGACCCAAATGGGTGGAATATCATGTATTTTGACATAAAAAACAGGATTATTAAACAGTTGTGTGCAAAACTCCACATTGCCAGGAGCGATAACACACTGGGAATAAAAGAAAAACAATGTTTCCAAAACACGAAAGCCGGTTTCTTCCAGTGGCTGAACAGTCATCGTGAATGAATCACCTTGTTGAGCTGGGTCCAGTGAGACAAAAGCCGAACTCAAATACACGCTCACTTCCTCTGCTCTCCTCGGTAAATATTTAACAAAAGCTAAAGAGCAACCAGGCAACTGCTATTTTAATCCAAATGCAGTCACGTGACAGATGACTTTTTTTTCATGCTGAAGTTATAAATAGAACTACTTCTGTTGTAGTGTTTGCTTTTCCACAGAAGAGTGAAAACTTGTGTTTTACAGCTCATTAGAACGTCACAAAATATTGCCGCCCGACTTGTTAGGAAGACAATCCAATTTGTTTGACCGACATTCCTGTTTGCCTGAGGTCTGTCCGCAGCACTGTCCGAATGCTCTGTGTGAACTAACCGCACCACTGACAGATGGCGAACGGACATGACGACACCCACATGTAAAACAGCTCACCGACCTGTCATTAGACAACCATAATAACAAGGCAGCCCGAAGTCGGGCCCCATCTCTTACTATAATTCCACATGCTGAGGGCCACCGCCGATTTATTTAAGAGATTCCGTTCCACCTCGGCTTAAATTTAGAAAGCCCGAGCTTCCACGAGGAAACTGCACATTACTTTTAGTCTGTAACTGACGGGCTTGAAATCATTCACAGATGTGCTCCAGGGCTGCCACGCAAGAGGGGGAAAAGGCGGGGCCCCTCCCACACCGTAGGCAGGCCGCCACTGAGATGGGAGGAAGCGAGAAGCAGGAGCTCCATCTCTAAGTGCCCCACACACACAAGCACACGCACACACACGCTCTCAGTAATAGCTAGTAGCTGAACCCAGCCATGCATCTCCAAGCATCCACCACTATGTGAAACAACACAATCTGACACTACTAACCACTGTTGTTCCCGGAGACTTGCAAGAGTCGTCTTATGTAACCTGCAGAGGAGCAGGAAGACGCTCCGCTGCAGCTTCACACGGCTTCCAATCAGATCCCTGCTTACTTCCATGTTACTGAGCGGCCGCTGACCCAGGCTCGCTCCATGCAAACATGCAGATCTGCACATTTCCTTTTTTTCATTATAATTTTTAGGAAAAAAAAAATCTGAATGGATCAAAATTGAAATTGATCCGTTCAGGAAAAGCTTCATCTGTGTGTCTCTGCACAAACTGCAGTTGTAAGGCAGATCTTACTTGTTCATAGTTCAGCCGCTGAACCTCTGATATCTCCTTAGGTTTGGTTTCCAGGATGTAATCACCTGCAAAAGAAAAGTCAACAGATGCTGATTCAACCTTGATTGACACGCAAGAAAAATCATTTGTTTAGAAGCAGAATCTGTTTGACGCTTCAGATTGTTTATCATGCCTATGTCGCATTGTGTGCCGTTTCCCAAGAAACATCCAGGCTCAAATGCTTTTCAGTTCCCTGTAGGTCTACTGTATATCACCAAAGCTTTGTGTCAGGATGGCTTTTACATTGGTAATTTCTATGAGATCACCTAGCTAACAGTAACACACTATCCTCTTAGAAAATTTCTAGTTTTCTCCAAAAAGCCAGCTCCTTTCAAAAGTCTGGTGTGACCATGCGTCGTGACATCTCACTGAGAGTCATTAATTTAATTAGGAGTTGGCAAAAGCATCACACTGCACTGTCAACTCATGCTTTTCCAGAGAATTACTCAGATGAATACCATCAACTTCCAGTCATCAAATCCACATGGGTGAAAACATCCATGCATGGAAAGAATCGCTAACATTGGAATCTCACTCGGCACCTGGAAGGAGAAGAGTACCCTGAGAGTAGCAACCAATATAGAAAGAGAGGCTACGTACTTCATCTAAGTCAAACTTAACGGAAATTAATCTGTTTCATCAGTAAAGCTAATGAACTCTAGCTGTGTTAAGCAACAGGAACTTTAATTTCACAAGATGTTTGAACAGACCCACAGACTCATCTCACTTCAAGCCGTCACCAAAGATACAGATTTTATTAGGGGAACATTATCTCCCTTTCTCCTGAGTCTCTGGGATGACAGGAAGTCAGAAGTTTCTGAAAGCTACTAAAGTAAATAAATGCAAATACAAAAACTGTTCCACCCTGTTGCAAAACAAATCCTCACATTTGGGGGAGAAATTAAAACCACAAATAGCTCTCTACAATCACACCAGTTTTCTCCAGGGAGATTCATAGAGATGAGTCATGTTAGCTGAAGGACACAAACAAGTCAGGGAAAAATATGCTGCTGAATTATTTAAAAACGCTTCATTTATTAAATTATACTGTACTCCTAACACAGGTGAGTTGTGTAAATCCCGGACAGAGCTGGAAGAAAACACTGGCAGAAATGCAGCTGTTTAGACACGACTCCTGGACACCAAAAACTGTTTTAGTAAAAAGGGGCATGACAGCCAGGCAGAAGACATGGCTCCTATTTTCCTTACAGCAGCAGAAGAAGTTCATGGGGGGATTCCCCCGCTGCGGTCGCTTCCTCTGTTCACTCTGGGATACAGGACTGTGCTACTCCTTAATATTCCCTGAAGGGAATACAGTTGCTCCTCTGGATGGTCAGTGAGGAAACATAACTAAATACATACATAGTTGAGTCAGATGACCAACTTATGCCTTTAAAGTGTGTAACCGTTGACTAGTATGAGCACGAAACACAAGAATGTTCACCAGGATGTTGAAACCTACTGGCAGGGAGTTCATGAACAACTGTGAATACAAGTATGTGATTGTGCAGGCTACACTTTGGCCCCGAAAAAACTACAGTGAGGTAATTGTACAAAACGTTCCTCAAAGACATTTTTGCACAGGGCAAACAGAATAAACCCAGTTTCAGTGGCATTTCCAGAATCAAAAAGGAGAGATGCACAAATCAGACTTTTCTGAGCAGGTAAGCGTTTTACTATTTCTAAGTGGTCTGCAATGCCAATTCTAAGTTTGACTGATTGCAATATTTGTTCTCTCTTCAAATTAATACAAATAAAATTTGCCAAAAATCCTCTAGAATCTGTATTGTCAGTATTTGTCCTGCCAATCAAGTGGCTGAACCTCACACTAATTTTGGTACATTTCTAGCTGTTTGCACTACATAGTTGGCAAATTATGTACAGATCTTCCATTTCAAATAGTGCTTCGTCTTGTTGAGGCACTGAGGATGGCCCAGTTTCTGGTTCCACGCTATTTGACCTGCCAATCACTGATCAGAGATAATCAAGAGAAAAACTGGCCAACTCTGATCTCTGGGGGGTGGACTGTCACATCGCTACATAAAAGATTCAACAAGGCATTTCTTCTTCTTCTAATGTGTTGATCTCGAGTGACATTGCTGGAAACACTTACCAAGATACTCCATCAGTTGCTCAGCAGTTATAATTTCCATCATAGGTGGCATTTTAACCTGAAAGAGAAGAATATACACCAGTTGTCACCGAAATTGCACCAAATACACACGTCTTGAATGCACACATCCTGTATTGATTTATTGTAATGAAACGTCATCTAATGCCAGGGTGGACTGCTTGACAGAACAAATCTGAGCGTTTACCTTCCAAGCAAGCAGAAGGACATTCATAATTGCCAGTAATGGACAGGGCCCATTCTCGTTTTGCGTGATGATCGGCGTGTTTTCCTCCCTCCATTTGATCCACTTAATGTGGTATATGGACTGGCCGGCGGCTCGGTCCTTGGCGCAGGAGGTCTTTGTCCCGTCGGAGGCGTACTCGCTCTGCAAGGCCAAGGGCAGTCCCCGGTCATCCAGCCCCTCTGAGCTCGGACACGAGTTGAGATTGGAGAACGACTCCAGTGAATCTATGCTGCGCGACTCTCCACCGAGGCTCGGGTCGGGGTCACTCCCACTCGGCAGTCCTTCCGACAAGGTGTGATCGCCGGACTGCCCAGCTTTGCCGTCCGGACACAGAGTCGTGGGCTTGGCAAGTTTAGTCTGCTCACTTTCTCTGCAGGCTGGAAGCTCGGGCTTTACATGGACGCTGTCTCCAGCGGGAGACGAGGGCAGGCTGTCGGCTCTGTTGTTTACCAACTTTGAGGCACCTCCCTGGCCGTCTTCTGCTGCCTGCTCCGAGTCATGCCCCATCCCGTTACTGACCTGATCCTCGCACTTCAACGGCGACGGGCTCGCCTCGGCGTTCTCCTCCGCGTCCTCCGGCACCGGAGGGACTTCGATAACCTCCGGCACCGCGCTCCGAACGCATCCGCCGCAGCTCTGAGGACTAGCATTCGAGGCGCTGGTATCACAAGGAACGTTATCCAAAGTACTGAGAGGAGCTTCACTATTCTTTAATTTCTCCACTGCTCCTTTCACTTCTCCCGCGACCGTAACGTCGCCCATTTCGCCCGCGACAGAGCCACACACAGAGGTCACCTCAGTGTCTCGATGCAGGTTTGCATTTTTCTCCATTTCGGTTAAAAAGCTCGCGACAGATTTTTTTTTTTTTAGCAACGCTGCAACGGTAGCTTCAGCCTCGACGACGCCATGACAACTCTGCGAGTGACGTCACCGGAGTAGAAAAACCAACGGCTGGGTGATGCGTTCAGTTCCGCTCGTATTCTGCAGACTCGGTACTGTTAGATCCGATGCTATATGCCGATCGTGTAAACTCTAAATAAACGCGTTTCGTTTTGATGTGTTATTTTCAAACAGAAATATGATATTAAGGTATGAGGTTTAATTAGCCCATTAAAGCTGTTGGCTGCATGCAGAAGAATATGATGTACCCATTTTTTGTGACTCCACTCTAATGTGACATTACAGGAGCTTCGTGTGCTGTTCAAGTTCACTGGTTGCATGTGAAGCAAAAATAGTGGCAAACAACTCAAGCATAGACTGAATGAAAAGAGCTACCCTGAACGTATAGGACATACACACTCATGCACATTATTACTGGGATGTTGCTTCGACATTTACTTGTGACCTAATCCTACATACTTATCCCTATTAACCATTAAACGTGCATTATTCTGAACTGGAAGTCAGCCTTACAATCCAGGAGGCAGATATTTTGGTTCGGTGGTTCAAGTTGAATTCAGATTTCGCTTTGTCGTCAACTACTTGACAAATGAACAGACCAAACAAACAAAGGTCCCAAAGAGCTGTGCAGCCTGACAGATTAATTAACTTCCAGTACCGTCTTATGATCAGTAGGGGGCAGCAAAGACTCTGTGAAACAGAAGATTCTCCCTGAGGGAATTTTCTTACTTTTGTCAGACAAAGAATTTTTGTTGGCTGTTATTTTGAAGATTGTGAGGTTGTAAAGACTGAAATGTTCCTCCTGGAACATCAAGTGTACAAAAACACAGAAAAGACTTGACAGTGTCATTGTTTATTAAACAGTAGAAGAAGTAATACAAATGATCTTATTGATCAAATAAAAAACAGACACAATTTGATCAAAATTTAAAGTGGTATATCTAGACTTATGGACTTGCTCTTTTCTGTGAATTTCATATTTTAATTCTCTTTAAAAATGTGACAATTAGAGTTATCGAAAGGTTTGGGAACATTTTAATTCCCAATAATAACAATAAATGTTTATGCCTTATTTTTAGGTAAAGAATTACATTTTCTACATCTGTTAACAGTTATATAATGAGAGAGTTTGTATGCTGAATACAGTTACATGCCACACATCTAATGAATTAATATTTTGTTGTCAATGTTTAGTGAAACAGTGCAATGAAATTAAGAGTATCTCTTATAAGAGGTGCAGTCAAGAAAAACTGCATCACACACACACACACACACGCACGCACACACACACACACACACACAAACTGTGCACAAAAATAAATACAAAAAAAATAAGTATCAAGACAAAAAGGGAAAAAATGGATTAATCTGTCATCAGACACAAATTAAATTGTAGGCTTTTTGTTGAGGACCCTTACAGCAGAGAAAGTTAATACACTGTGAAGTTTTCAAAAGTCTTAGTAATTATTTATGAAAAATTTATAAAATCATATTGTACCCTCATAGCACCAAAAATATATTGCAATATAATATGACAAAATGTATTAGAATTAAAAAATATATATGAATGCTTTTCAGTGTACTGTATTGTCTACTGTTTGCATTCCTTCAAGGTATTGCACATATTTACATTTTCAATTAAATAAATTACAAACACAGCGAATAAAATCCACTTTAATTTTTACAATGTGGGATATCGCTAATTATTAATATTTGTTCTTCAATGTAACCATATTTCACATAAAACATTGTCCAGATTTCACCTCCCTCCCCTCACTTTGAAATGTCCAGTCAGTGAACCCGGAAGTCTTTTTTTTTTCTAAACGTAAATAGGCACTAAACTTGACACGAACAATAACGCCGGGTGTCAGAGGATTGAGACAGCGTTTTGCCGTCCTGCGGTGAAGCGGGTTGTCGTTTCGAGGCGCTTTGGTAACTGAATGGGTGTGTCTACACTCTGCTGGCAGCGCACACCGGAAGGGAGGGGGGCCCGTCTGCCTGCGAGTTCGGTTCGAAGCCGCCGGTGTTTGTTATGGGAGCGAACTAGGAAGAGGGCGAAGACAACGAAACGAGAGCCACTTGACGGCTTTTATGTGTAGTTTAGCTTAGTTCGCTAGTACTGAACGGCAGCCGGATATGATATTTTTCAAATTGTTTATCATTTTTTGCTACCTGCGGGACGTTAGAGGTAAGTTTTCCATCCACTCACGCGGGGAAAGTGTTCAGTGACAGCGCTGATCTGATCAAACAGTTGTACTCTGGCTTCCGAACTCGCTAGCTTGGTGGCTAATGTTCGTGTTAAGCGTAGTGCCTGAACACGAGCCAGTCCCGAGCGTGACAAAATTAGCTTTGGTGTCAGGTTGAATATTTAAACCCGACGCAGAAGGTGAATAGAAGCTTTTTGACAGTTCCTGAGTGGGGAAACTCATGTTGTTGAGCTCTCAGGGCGGACATTTAGCCAAATCTACACAGACAGGAGCAGGAAACATTCACTAGTGCTGGAAATATTGCAGAAAGGTTCTCTAAACTTAGCTCAACTCCTTGCTTACACTGACACCAAATAGTTACAAAGCTATTCAAAGGTAAATGTCAGCTATTTTGTAGTTTCTCCCCAGATCATGCAGATAATTCTGTTATCAACTTAATTGAAAGCCACTATTTAAAGTAAATCCAGTGGGACAACCATTGTTTTAATATTAAAAAAAATCTTAGTTTTGAAAGTATTCAAAATAAACCAATCTAAAGTTTCTCTGCCCATTGATATTAATTGCTTAATTTTGATTCCTATTGACTTTATGGACATTCTCATTTATGCTTTTCCTGGCTGATTGTAATTTTAGATGTGTTGTGAAGTCAGAGCTGCCAGTACCAGTTTTATGCAGAAAGGAGAAAGATGTGCTTTGCATCTTTTGATCAAAACAGTAGTACAAGAACTATTCATTGATCAAAGTACGACCCATATCAGAGGCTTAAGGGAATAAAAGATCTTCTGATTGCATCTGTTAGTTCAGTGTTTGCCAACCCACCTCCTCCAGGCACAATGCCTGGGATGACTCACATGTTTGAATTTATGGTTGATTAACTGGTTTTCATGTAATGGTACGTTAAAACAGGGAAACATCTACAATATCCAGGACAGTGTGTCACAAAGACCTGCGTTGGGAATCACTGTGAGTTAGTTTGTTAGTTAGAAAAGTGACAGATTTCTCAGCATTTGGTCTGACGATCACTCATCAGAGCTGATCAATGAAACTTTGTCTGATTCCCAAGTCTGGCTGATTGATCAGTGTGTCTCTGTTATAGACATAGTTACTTCCTGGGTATCTAAAACTGGTGTCATTTTGGGCTGCCACTCACAAATAATGCAAGTCTCTTTAATTTAATAATTAAATAATATATTTAATGTTGAATATTTATGGCATACTCCTGGATAAATAAAAAAAACAAGACCTTTATTGTTTGTGTATTTGCTTATTGGTGACTCTAGCTAATTGGGAGGCATAATTGTCTTTTAATCTGAACTTTGTGGGTTTGATTCCAACTTCATTGTGTCACGTGTCGATTTAGGCATTCACTCCCAGGTTGCCTACTGGTTGCGCATTTGGGTGAATGTGGCACTGTTTAAATGTATTCATAAAATCTCAAGTATGAGACAGAACTGAAAACATAAAAATAGACCCAAGTTCATTTCATAATGCAGTTCAAAAGAAAAACATATTTGTTACACTTTTTAGTTAAAATAAAATGGAACTATGTTTAGTTTATTGTCATGTTTCAGCAAAATTCAAAAATACTCTGTACGTAGACGTCTGTGTTACAGTGGTTTTGAAGAAGCCTCTGACTGATAATGGATAATGATCTAATGTAGATTTCTGGAAATCTACAATCTCCTCTTTTCTCTTGTTTACATTCAAGATGAGATAATTGTTCATACACCATGATAAATGTTTGATTAAATTAGATATTCACATTCAGTTCAATGTGATTTGAAATGGATGGAGTAAAGTTATATGATCTTCAGGAAGAAGTCTACCCATTAACATACAGGCACAGACAGGTAGCTAATTGAGTCAAAATTACTGGAAAAGCATAGCAGATAGATGACTTGTCTCTCCTCATCTCAGAGGAGAGACTTGCTCCTCTGAGAAGCTCCTGACAACACTAGCTTCAGCAGCTTTAAATAACACTTTAGCACTTTTTTTGGGAAAAACTTTAATAATCTATTGCCTTTAGGGAGTAAAGAAAGCTCTATCTGGCCAGTTTTTTCTCCCACAGTAATCTAGATAGGCAGCCAATAGCCAGCCTCTGTCACAAAAGAACCTGATTGTGCAACCTGTGAGTGGGTGGTTGCACAAACCATATGTCATCCCTACATCACTGCCTCCACCAAAAAGCCTGCTTGCCTTTATACGAGTCAGCTGATGTATGCAGTGAAGTCCTCCACTGTTGAGTCAGCAGCACAATAGAGGCTGGCTCACTTCTGCCACATCTACCAGCAGTCCTTTCACAAAATACATTGAAACTGCAAAAAGATGTCTCAATATCACTCTGGAAGTGCTTTATGAAATACAAGATGGCTGCAGCCCAAGATGGCCGTGTTAAAGGCCCACTCACAACCACACATGTTTACTGCTGCTGACATCAGAGAGGAGGGGGTTCATGTGCAATCTGGATTAAAGATGCTTTGAGTTTTGTTGAAAATTTATAGCATATGGCAAAAAAGAAAATCATAATTAATTATGTGAAGACTGAACATATGTGTAGCAGACACCCCCCTCCCCCTAGCCGCTATGAAGGATTTAGGCTTTACTGATGAACAGTGAGGTTCATTAGAAATAAACCCTGAGTTTCACTGAAGGAGGAGCTGTAAAAAAAAAACGTGTAAGGTACAAAACCATGCTCTTACAACCTTAACGGTTGAACTAACAATGACGTTCACGACTAAAAATGTTAACTCTAATTAAAAAGCT